ACAATTTTTAAATGAATTTTAATAGAACCACCATGGTGGCGATCACCTCAATTCCAGTATTTCCAATATTCTCATTTATGTATTCTTTGATATTATAATAACCTTTTTATAAAATTTTTCTTTAGTAAAACATTTAAACTTGTTTATTGACAAATTTTCGATAAATTTTTGTACAAAGTTTGTATGAGAGAGACCTCTTTTACAGGAAACGAGGCATTCCATCTTACTCCACACGGGTGACAACGCATCTGCATTTTGATTTGTAGTCGAGGATAGATGTGGACGTCTATGCACCACAGCAGTTACTTAACATCAGATGGACTGTGTGTGTGTATGTGTGTGTGTGGTAGACTGTGTTTATCACCATTATCCTATAAAAAAAACTAAATATTTGAGACTATATCAGATACATGTTTGTAAATATCCTCATATATGAAACAATTATTTTCAGGTACTAAATTGCTGCAAATATTTGTACATCTTTTATTAATAATTAAAATAAATAATTATAATTAATATGCATTTTATTTACATAACAATGAAATATAATATACAATAGTAAAAAACTATAATAAAAAAAACTAAACCTAATTACTTAGTCATCATACAGTCCTACTCCCCGTGGACCCTTGCACCTCTGGAAAGGAAATCTGGCTGTGAATGTAGAGGAGGGACGATATTTATTAAAAAATCTAAACATATCTCTAAAGCACTTAAATCTTTATATAATATAGCTTCATATTGATGTGGAATGTGCTGTACCCCGCATCTTTCCCTGAAACACAATCATTTATAGCCTAAATAAAAGCATTTTGCTCAATAAATGAAATATTATCACAATACTCCCCTGAATTTATTTCATATTGGTGAATATGTAGTCGTTATTCTTTGACAGCTGACAACGGCTCTGCAGAAATATTTTCCTTTATAAATGGGTATTATCTCTGAAATCAAAAAGAAATATTATTATAATTGTCTTATACATTTATTGATCCTTAATGTAATTTTATAGCCAAAATTGGCCTCTGAATAACAAAATAAAATAAATTATATATACATAGCTTTAGACAATTGAAAAAAAATTGACAATTTTATAAATATAATTATTAATTTTAATTATAAATAGCTATATAAATATGTAAAAAAAAATGTTTACCTACTGAAAATGAGTTTCAATAAACTGTCTTCTTCTAATATTTCCCCTTATTGATGGTGCAATATATCTTTGTACTATAGGTTCAGATGAATATTGTTCAATGCTATCTCTCTCACCAGAAAACACATCTTCTCTCATGTCGATGGCCATATTGTGTAGTACAGCACATGCAACAATTGTTTTTTTTGCTGTTTCAATATCTCCAAACATACCTCTTAATAGGCAACGAAACCGTTGCTTCCACAAACCAAAACATCTTTCCACTGTGTTCCTGGTACGGATATGGCTCCTATTATATCTTTCTTCTTGTGGTGTTGTGGGGTTCAGCAGCGGTGTAAATAGGTAAGGGGTACAAGGATAGCCACTGTCACCAAGTAATATTCCAGAGAATGCACCAGCCTCAAACCTCTGTTTTAGTCTACATTCTCGGAATATTCTGGAGTCATGTACACTACCACGCCACCTGGTAACAATGTCCATGATTTTCAGGTCAGCGTCACAAACCACCTGTAAAATAAGAGCTCATTAGTACTTTATGTTTTTCTGGTTTATTTTAATATATATTTATTACCATAAGATAGTCAAACAAATTATTTTCTATTATGATAAAGTAAAGTTATTAAGAGACAATCACAGCTATTTAAAATATTTGTATATTACCTGTACATTAATTGAAGAAAATCCTTTTCTATTAATATATAACTGACCCCCATCAGCATTCACTTTCTTTACTCGTATGTGAGTACAGTCAATTGCGCCAATTACTGTAGGAAAATTAGCAATACTGCGAAATTTCCTAATGGTTTCCTGCTGTTCATTTAAAGTAGTAGGCATTTTAATAAATTCTCGGGACTTCCGTGACAAAATTTCCGCTACTTTTTTACATGTCCTACTTACTACTGGTTGAGACACACCATGTAAATCAGCTGTATCGTCTTGAATCTACGAATAAAACAATAATATGTATTATCTGGCTTTTTATCTAGCGTAATGTTAGGTACATTGACCCCACCAAGATTATAAACAGCACTTACTTCATGGCGAGCCCAGTTGCGTAATGCACAAACCACTTGAATTTCAGGACTCAATGGGCATCCTCGAGGGTCGTGCACTAAATCCTCACGTAAGATACCCACTATTTTTTCTCCGAAACGTTTTGAGAACCTATACTTATACCTAAAATCTTCGTCACTCAATTCAAACGGATTCACACGATGTCGATGTCTATCAAGTCGCCGAGTAGTGTCTAGCATGTCCAAATCTTCTAGATCCATCAAGTCAATCATGTTAATATCCATTTTTAACGATTTTAATAACACCAAATGAAAACAACGCTCACCTCAAATTAAGAAGTACCGAAATTGAGGTTAGTATAGAGTAGAGTACCACAAACTATATAGAAAGGTTAGTACCATAGCTAAACTAGGGGTCTCGAAAGATTAACTTTAATACCATAGATAATCCTTGAACCAGAGATAATCTTCGTTTTGTAATAACGTTTTTCTTAGTTTATGGTTTAAATATATTACTAACTCCAGTACTATATTAAGTCCGCGTTTTGGAATAAGGCGGTATATGTCGAATTTAACCCAGCCCCGTAGGTTTCACTTAGTTCTGTTTCAAAATGAAATCGCAGCAAAATCATACCCCGCCATCCTAGAAGCCGAAACAATCTTATTTGTTTCATTTCAAAAACGAACAGTAGCAAAGTATCAAAATGTTGGTCCAGCCGAGCGTAGAACAAGCGAATACTGTCTAAAAGTATAACCATGGAAGTGAAGAAGCGATGCTGCAACGGCCGGTGAACACGCAATACAAGAAGACATGCAGGTAACTTGAGAAGTTATTGTGTTGGTGCGCGGTGCGTTGCGATGCCTCCCTCTGCCTGTGCCCAGCCCTGCTTCCCCTCGTGCTTTCACACGCCCGCGCACAGGTGTCCGATGTCGCCCTTGACGCATCTTCCAAGTTCGTTTAAAGTATTCATGCATATATTCTTGAGTAAACTATTTTCATTAAAATGTCATAGGTAATATTGTTGAAGATATTGTGTTTTATAATATTAATAAATTTTACTTTAAAACCTGGTAAATTGATACTGAACGATACTTTGCTGCATTTTTCACAAGTTAATGTTTATTCATTTAATACGGAAGAGTGCGTGTTGTTAACCGGAGTAGCACTTTTTATTATTTTACAAAGTCTATGCCACTTACGATAATTTACAATTTAAAATTATCAAGGTGAGACTTTACTTACTGGGTTTTATCTCGTTATTACTAAATCATTTAAGATTAAATGGTAGTTTTTAAAAAAACGGACGGTGACAAATCTTGCTAACACCCACGTTTAAATTAAAACATTTGTTTTGGCCTTTTATCGTTTAAACCGACACAATTCTGCTGTGCTTAGATGTTATTTGATTTTGTATAATAACATCAACAAACTAAAAAAAATAAAACTTGACTAACATCGAGATAAGCTAAAACCTTGACATTAAACTTGGCCCGGCCGCGCGAATTAATGGCTTCCATGTTTTTATTTTCCTTGAGATTAAATTTATAGGCACTGCTTGTGGCCGCGGCGTCACTCATTACAAATGCTACAATCCTCAGTTAAGTAATGTTAGAATGTGTAAGGTGTCATATATCAGCGCTGTTTACTTGAACCAGCGAGGCGGGCGATTAATAAGCAAACATTCCGTCGATGTTGATGACGCAAGCTTCTATTCGGTTAATTCTTAAGCGTGGCAATAAAATAAACTTAGATACATTGTAGATTCCCCGTGCTAATAGAGACAAAGATATTCTTTTATTGTAATCCAAGTAGTGAAATTTTTAAAGAAATTTCCGTTTATTTTATAAACAATGTTCGCCAGCTATCAGAATGTCAGTGAACGTCACGGCGCGGCGGTACCATTATCGGATACGATAATTCTCATAGGTAGCGCGAGGCGCGGACGCGGGCGGAGGCTCATCGCGCAATTAACATGCTAATGAACGGCTCCCCGATATCATCACGGTAATTATGTCCGCTTGCGACTATATTGTATACTTGCTTATATTTCCAACGTTCATTTTAGACAACTAACAACACATATCAAGCAATCAATGCTATAGTAGATGACTTCAAAAATGTTTATATCAAGTCTTGATACGAAGATACGGACAGGTGTTTACTACTTCTTCTATGAGAGTGAAGCTTCTCACGAATTTTTACGATTTCCTGTTATTCGGTCGTAGTGTCCATACAGCTCGTGTCGGATATCTTTATTATATCGTTTTAACTCACCTCGTAGATACGAACTTTCTGTTTTATATCACTAACTTAGTTGAGACTTGTGACGGAATGTGTCATTATGAGCGAAGGTAATGTGAAGCCGGTGGCGGCGTAGAGCGAGGGATGAGGCTAGGCTGCGGCGCCACGGGTGTTTATTTTTAGACGGGTCGATTGATAGGTTCGCCGGTTGGTGTGGGCCGCGGACGATGCGCGTTATTTATGCAAATGTCCTAACGACACATAATGGTGGGTAGCGGGGCGCGCGGGTGCGTCTCCGCGGCTCTCTGCCTCGCAGCACGGTAATTAGCCCCTGCGTGCCGCCGCCGCCCTCGCCGCACGCAAACTTCACTGCTATGTTTCTGTGTCGCCTCGAGCACAACTACCCATGTTTTTGTGCGGTAAATATCGTGTCTCAGGCCCCTTGTATGAGCTACCGTCTGATCATCTTACGCTCGCGAAAAACAGGTAAAGAGTCATTGTGTTTTAAAATTACCAATTTGTGTTGTAATGACGGCGTATCATGCGACGCGATGTGGCGTTTACTTGCTAATTAATTATTTTGACTTACCGGCGTCTAGTATCCTTTGTTTCACGGAATGCTGTCTGCCATGCCAAAACTGCCACGCTTTGATCTCATCTTCGGGGGATTTTTCTTCTCTAAACATCAGCATTACCACACTCTGCAACAAAATATATAAGTTATATATGAAAAGTTATCTATATCTAAACAAAAAATACTTTTATATTCCTACTAATGTAACAGACTATGGTAATTTATATCAAGTAAACGTTTATCGTAGGTAACGATAATATTCATTAGGAACACCCTTATAAAGTTATGCCGCCATTTAATTTATTGCCAAGTTTTAATGACAGAGAAGCAAAGCCAAGTAATGCCGTGAGCATTCCGCGAATAAACTGCTCGCGATTACCCGGTGCATTCGGTTATTAAGTTAAACGAATATGATTACGTCTTGAGACGGGTATTTTAATTCCATATTTTATTTAAATGCGCCTTGTAATTCTTCTTTGAGTGCCTGGCCGTTTCCGTTTCGATGTATAAGTGAAAAATATCTTGTCGAGACGATTTCTATGGACGATTTAGAAAATCGGGTGAAAAAAGTGAGTGTCGTCAGGCGTGCTTGCAGACCTAACCATATAGGGCTAACGACGAGAAAGCACCTCCGATCGTCGCCTCTGATTGATGGATCGCTGTGCCGAGAGACGGCCGGCCGCGCCTCGTTCGACCTCCAAAACTTATTTCCATCAATACATTTTCTACATTTAATATTTATTGACAAAACTTAAATAATTCAATTAATTTTTTGTGGAAGTTTTTGCCAAGTTCTAATTATTTAAAAAAATACCACTGATGTTATTAAATATCGATATTTATTGCTTTTGTATTAAATTTTATTCATACGGCTACATGAATACGCTAGTTCATTTTTTAGTATACATTCATGTGAGCAAAGTAAGATTTTATTGTCATAAGATCGGTTTCGATTTTATATCTTTTTCAATTCCAAATCCAAATTAGGTGTGCTGAAAGCCGTGGACGACTTGCCTTGACTACACATTTTTATCAAGTATAATAAAGCTATAGTAAATTAAGAACTTTTGTATAGCATATCATGTTCCTACGCAGCGTGCATTCTTGGAAAACTTTTAGTCTACGAAGATAAAGTGTTCGATACCATAACGGCAGTGGTTATCGCGCTTGAATCGCAATTAAATACAGCAAGGACCCTCGGTTACGGTATTGGCGACGCGCAATAAAAACAATGTTTTATTGTTAATCGATGTATTTATGAGTAATTTGCGTCGGCGAATAGGTACGCGTTTCTATAAGCGGGACACTGGCTTTCTCCGGCAATCGGGCGTAAACTGAACGGAACCATGCATACTAATAGATAGTCCATGTATAAAATTGTAACGGTGAACTCCGCCTCTCCTTCATAACGCGTCGCCGTTAATAAATATAAATATTAACTACTTTATTAGAATTCCCCAAATTCATAGGTTTAAGACATACATAATGCATGCTTAACTGTAAATACGAATTAGATGGTAGGTCGTCTTATCTCATTTTCGTATGCCACTAAAACGAAGTTTATTAGTCTCTGACATTTTTATTCTGTATATTTGTTCATGTTAGCATTTATTATGATAGTTACCTAGTTTTTAGGTATTCTATTTAAATTTTGTATTATTAGAATGCTTAGTAAGGTTTGCTTTTAAGGTTTCAATCTATGTAGTATAAGTAACAACGGTTTACGTAACTTTATGCCTATTTTAAAGCAACAATTGGCAATTAACAATGCTGGTATTGTTGTTTGACAGATAGACAGAGTTATAACTAAGGTATAAATGACTGAATAACGCAATGTGTCATATTTAAGTTTCAGTTTGATTCAATTGATATTTCCCGTTTAGTTTGTTACTTTTTGAATGCTTATTAGCGCTGACAATTATTATGATATCGATAGTGTTTTATTAAAAAGATTTTTTTTATTAAAATACCTAATTAACGACTTCATTCAATTATCATAAATGCAATTTTTGGTAATATTTTCTATACGTTCATGGCTAAGATTTCTTAGAACCGATATACACTGCCCTGAGATTATTTCTAAAGTTTTACAGATCGATGAATGGGAGCAGTGTTACTGTTATGAAGGTAATTTATAGGTATAACAAAACGTTGTCCTACAATAGACCCAAAAAGGCTAATGATGGTAATGTATTTTCTTTCCAATTACAATTAATACGATATTTTATTTATAAACTGTAACTAGTAAAGTCATACAAATACATATAGCAGTAAGTACATACAGATATATAAAAGCACAAATGTGGATACACTCACTCGTCTTCACCTTTGCGTAGTACTTTAATGATAAGATCGTAGGAAGGTCAGATGCAGTGTCTGACAGACACGGGACAATTACAATATACCCAGACCCAAGCAGTAATAAATTTTATATTAAATGTATATTTTTATTGCAATGGCTCTCTTTTAAACAGATAAGAACACCGTAAATGAGCCACGGTATCGATAATTATATCAACGATTGTATCATTGCTGCTGCTCTGCTCTTGTATCCTTAATATACTTTTCGAAAATTAATTTTTAAAGTGGATAAATTACAAAATTAATCCTTAAAACTTGACAATCTTTACTTAAATTTTTAGTATTAGTAACAAGTAATAAAAAATTTACAAAGAAATTAAAAAATAAAATAAATGAAGGCTTTACGAGTCAAAAAAACGTTAAATGTATACAAAAATTACCCAAATAGAAATGTTTATACAGCCCTGTAAGTTGGTTTTTTGATTTCGTTTGCCTGCTTTCTATATTATATTTTATCAACTTTACTAACATAGGGTTATGTACTTAAGAATGTCAATTTTATATTTAACGCTGCCTTTTCTAGTAGATGTCCTGATACGTTGCACTCTGAAATCACTCCAGACTTTTAACAGTTTGAATATATTTTTAACTAGCGCACCGCCCGGCTTCGCACGAGTGATTTCTGAATATCGTCAACAGCGCCATCTAACATGTTCAAATGTAAATCTAAACCACTAGGGACCCATTCAATAACACAAAGATTTTTTGTTAAGGGTAAAGGTTTTTTATAAAAGGTATTTTTTTAATCAAATCAGTCGAGCTGTTTTTGAGGTTTAGCGAAACTAAAAAACAGCAATTGATTTTTATACGTGAGATCGATTGAGTACAGCGCCACCTATCGAATCCCTATATTTAACCCCCGACGAAAACAGAGGAGTGTTATGTTATGTTATGTTTGTAGTGTGTATCTGTGTATCTATGTCTGGGGCATCATAGCTCCCGAACGGATGAACCGAATTTGATTAAGTTTTTTTTCGTTTAAAAGGTATCTTAATCGAGAGTATTCTTAGCCACGTGTATATTGCAAGAAAATCTGTTCAGTCGTTTGAAGATCATTAGTTCTTTTTGTTTCGAGGGTCCTTACATTTTTTATTTTAAGCTATTAGTAATTATGTCATATTCTTTTTTTGTCACCGAACTAACATGCAACACAACAAGTGTTGAGACATTTTAGTTCATAAATATAGAATTTGTTAATAACTTGACCATAGTGTCACTTATTTATCATGTAAATATATATATTTGTAATAAAGATTAAGTAGTTTAATGTGATTTTATTTAGTATTGGAATCTTTTTAACTTGAAATGATACAAGCACCGTGAATTATTCAGGTCCCCATTAAAATAATTATACCTAATTATATGTACATCCTGTATTTATTTAGTAAGTGTTTCACAAGAGTTTTGCCTTCTCGGACCAGTTACTACCAAATTTTCGGACCGTCAATTAATTAATCGAGTGTATCGACATTCGACCCGATTTCAGGAGCCCGGGCTTGGTTGACAATCTGAGTTATCTGATTAAGCACGCTTTCTCTCTGCGTGTGTGACACGCGGCTCGGACTGTTGTACCTATGTGTAGCTACACCGCGTTTATTTCATCACTCTACTTAAATAAATAAGCATTCGCTACACATTTCTTTCATAATACGCAACTAGATTGTTATCTTGGGCTTACGTGCGACATCTCCCGACGTATCATTAATCAAACGCTTAATTTGTTTGTGTTTTAAGAAATTACTTCTTGATTGTTAGCTATTCATAATTAAATATATATTCGAAATATACATAAACAACAATTAAATCAAACAGTGCTAGAATTTCTGACATTGATTTTTAGTTTGTAGTGTCCAAATAAAAGCTTTTAACTAAATGCATATGAAAATATATACGATACTTATAACAAAAACACAATTAAAAAAAAATCTGACTGTCTGTTTGTTCCGGCTAATCTCCGAAACGGCTGGACCGATTTTGTCGGGACTTTCACCAGCAGTTAGCTAATGTTTTAAGGAGTAATTTAGGCTACTTTTATTTTAGAAAAAGAATTAGGGTTCTGCGCGATATCCATAAAATCCAATCGTAATAACCCACAATTCCACGTTGGCGAAGTTGCGGGGAACAGTTAGTTTAAACATAAAAATTAAACTTTTATAAAAAGTAAAAATCGACTTCATATCAATAAAAAGTTTAAAATGTTATTCACATAGTAACTTCTGAAGTCGGCACTAAGACATAAGAATATACCAAAGAGTTAAAGCCATCTATTTCAGAAGCTATTATGTGGAAATAATTTTTTTAGTTCTTTTTAAATCGATTTTATTTTGGATTATTTTTTTACCCTAAGTGTACTTGGAAATATCATAAGAGCAAGGTAACACTAAAATGTCATCAAAACAGAATCACCTATTCCTAGTCCTTGGGATACCCCAATCCAAATTAATAAAAGAAGAATCATTAAATAGGTTTTTGATTGGCAAGGATATCGCGTAACAGAAATACAAAACAACGTCCATTCGCGAACCTCTTCCTTTTGAAGTCCGCTAAAAATATGAATAGGTATGTATGTTTAATTTGTTTTGTGTCTATATCGCATATTGCCATATGCTTTAAAGGGAACGTTCTTTTAGTTTCACGCGAAGGCAGCTATTGATCTCATTCCAGATAAATGTTCTAATTAAAACTCGCGGCCGTGCTTGTACCCACTTTGTTTCTGTACGGAATGCAATTTCTCTTTGGTGTCGCTTGTATCGTCAATAACGCTCA